CGACGATGCTACATTCGAGCCAGAGGACCTGGGTCCCGGCTCAGCCTTACATAATCCAGAGCCCACCCTGTGGAATGCATCCTTGCCTTGAGATGCACAAAGAGCACAGTTAAAAGCCTCCGCACACCACCTAGCCATGTGTCCCTCCTTACCACACCTGTAGCACAGGTTGCTTCGTCCAGGGACTCCATAATGTTAGCAGAGGTGTTTCTGAGCTTCTTCATCACTATCTTATACGGCAAGCCCCATGGGTCCTCCTCGATAGTGTTAATGAGCTCCTGCCATGCATTTGACTTAGCCTTGCTGACCTCATGCCTTAATTTCCGCTTCGCAGTCCTATATTCCCTCTCGAATTCCTCCATATCTTCCTGTAGAGATGATCTCCTTCTCCTGCTTCGCATCCACGCTCTCCTCTTTCGGGTACAGTCTCTCCTGCAGTCCGCGATGTTCTCCGACCACCAGTACACCTGCTTTCGACCGCTGTGGGGTTTCTTCCTGGTTGCGGCGTTGTCGCAAGCCTCGGTAAGGGTGTTTCTGACCCACTCCTCAAAGTCAGTAGCCGAGGTCTCCTCGTTTATCTGTGAGTCCGCTGTGCAGTGCCAGATCAGAGTTGCGCAGTACTTATCAATATCTGCCTTTCGCCAATTCCAGCCTAAACCTACGAACATCCTCTACCCCCCCGATAAACCACATGGATGCACCACAGGAAACGTGGGCAACTGTGGTCAAAAAGGGGGGAAAGAAGAAAGGAAGCCAGCAAACAGCAACCTCGAGCAAACTCGGCCCTGCTAAACCTGCCGCTGGTAAAAAAAAGCGCCAAACGAGGCAGAAACGGACCAGAGGGGCAAGAAGGCCAACGTAAGAGCGAGGAAACTGCCGAAAACTGCGGCAATTACGGTGACATGCCCACCAGGGCAGTACGAGCAGACAATACGCGAGGCACGAAGCAAAATCAAGCTCTCGGACCTCAAGATTGACGGCTTTCGTACAAGAAGAGCGGGCAGGAAACCAGCAAACGGTCGCCTCAAATAAATCCGACCCTGCTAGGCCTACCACTGGTAAAAACCAGACAGGGAGGGCAACATCGGACCATAGAGTCAAGGAGGCCAACGTAAGAGTGAGGAAACTGCCTAAAACAGCAGCCGTCACGGTGACCTGTCCACCAGGGCAGTACGAGAAGACCATAATTGAGGCACGGAGCAAAATTAAGCTCTCTGACCTCAAGATTAAGGGCTTCCGCGTCAGAAGAGCGGTCACCGGCGCGCTCATCTTTGAAATCGCTGGTGAGGACGGGAGGGCGAAAGCGGACACCTTTGCAAATAGGCTCCAAGAGGCATTAGCGCATAGAGAGGGCGTAAAAATCGCAAGGCCGATGAAAATGGGAGACTTTCGGCTGCGAGACTTGGACGACTCTGTCGGCCCTGAGGACGTTCTCCAGGCCATAATGGGACTGGGGAAGTTCCAGCGCACCGACATCAGCGTAGGCCCTGTTAGAAAAACGGGGAACGGGCTTGGCACAGCATGGGCGAGATGCCCACTCGAAGCGGCAAATATTGCCGTGGAGAAGGGGACAATCCAAGTGGGTTGGGCATTGGCGAAGGTAGAGGGCCTTGAAACAAGACCTCTTCAATGCTATCGTTGCCTGGAGGGAGGTCACGTGAGGGCAACGTGCACCAACAAAACTGACCGTGAAAGAGAGAGAAAAAGAGAGGACCGCGTGTACACACAGCCCCCTGTAGATTTTATACAGGGAGCCGACAGTCGCCAACTTGGCCATAAAGGGCAGAAGACCGGAGGGGAAGGTGTGGTGAGCACCATATTAGTTAATGACTATATACAGGGAGCTGACCGCCGCCAACATGGCCACAAAGGGTAGAAGACCGGAGAGGAAAGTGGTGGTGAACACCATATTAGTTACGACTAATTAAGACTGATCAACACTTTCCTCGATGGTCAAAAGGAGGGAGACACGGGAGAGCGGGATAATTCACTTTACTCGTGGTGATAATCACTTCCACGTGGTGGAAAATCCCCGCCCTCTCTTGTCACCGAGGTACAGGGCCCCCGGAGAAGGAATATCCCCTTGAAACATGGGGTGACCCCATCCGAGGGCCGGGGACTGGGGAACATGAGCTGGCGTTTAGCTCATGTGTCCCCCATAGTTCCCACAAACACCCTGTGGGAATGGCGTGGTGGAAGGTGTCCCCACCACGCCATAATAAGGAGGAGAACCCCTAGTACATCAGGGGCATGTCCTACACATTAATAGGGCATAGAGAGGTGAGGTGGCGGTTGGGGGTTTCTCTCTTGCACTCCTGTTTCAGGAGTAAACGTAGAATATATATACACATATATATATATATATACACTTCCCTATCTTAAAACGTAGTCCTTAAGACTACCTCGACCTTTCGTAAATCATCTAATCTCTAGTCTAATCTACCGATTGGTCGCTTCCCCTGTTCCCACGAGAGAATGGGTGCTGTTCAGATTGATCAGTTTCAGAGACATCCCCGTTTCAGGAAAACAGATCTCCCCGACCTCCTATATACAAGACTTCACTATAATAATAGTAGTAGTAATAATAAGTAACTGGGAGTTTATTCATCCAGCTAATCTTACTTCTACTTAACCTACTTACTTATTTATAAACTAATATATATACACGTTATTCCTAGCCTACACTATCCCATAATGTCTTAAGGCTGCCCTAATCTACCATTAATAACTTCCCTATCGTGTTTAATGTCAGCTGGATTGCTCGCTGTCATCGATCCCCTGCTCTTGCTCTTGTCGCCTTCTCTCCGCCTCCTCTTTCGCCAACATCACAGTTTCGGCAAACTGCGTCATGGCTGTCCACGCCTCTCTACTCCTACACATTTCCCCAATCACCGACCCTAGGGACAAATCACCACCAATGATAGCCTTAAGAGACTCTCTCTCCGCCTGCCATGCCCTGCAGACCTTCAGGGTGTGTTCGGCGGAGTCTTCTAGGTCATCCTCGCAGTGCTCACAGGCCGGGCTTGCAACTTTGTTAATTCTATACAGATAAGTACCAAAACACCCGTGACCCGTGAGCAGCTGGGTTAGATGAAACGCCATGCTGCCATGCCTTCTATTAAGCCATTCGTGAAAGTTGGGCAAAATGGCTTCCCTTGTCCGTGCTCCAGCTAGATTCGGGCTTCGCAGATGTAGATCCCATTGCCTTCTGACTAGAATTTCCTCTTCCAATCTAATCTCGCACTCCTCCTCTCTAGACCAGTCCATGGTTAGTTTCAGATCCCTAACCCGTTCATAGACTCTCCTACGGGAATCCGCAATTATATAAACCGGAGGGATCCTGGATAAAATTGCCGCCGCTTCCATCGAAACCGTCCTGTATCCCGAGATCATCCTGATTGCAATGGATCTTTGCAACCTATTAAATAAATTTTGGTTCCTACGCAGGGCTAGAGCCTTGCTCCAAATGGGAGCCCCGTACATAAGGATGGAGAGGAGCACATTCGCATACAGGCCTGGTGCTGTATTGCCAATCCCTCTCCGCTTCAGAACCTTACTAACCTCGATGGGGGAAACATCCCAGTCCTCATCCCAGCGGAAGTCAACCCACGCCTCCCGGGGGCCTGTGTCTACCGTCGGGAATAGGGATTCCACCAAAGATTCCCTTGTTGCTTCGTCCAGGGACTCCATAATGTTAGCAGAGGTGTTTCTGAGCTTCTTCATGCCGAGGAGATAACCTCGTTAAAAAACCCTATTTCGGGGGGTTTTATGGGGCATGGGGTTAAGGGTTGGGTGGGTTTTTTATTTATTTTCCGCGTGGGTAGGGTGAGCCCCCTGGCATACGGGGACGGCTTCCGATGATCTCCCAGGGCCACGCCGGAGGATCATACCGGTGTTGGGCCTGGGAAGTAGGAACCATAAAGTATGCCTAGAGGGTAGTGCCCCTTGAATCAAATGCACTCCTCGCAAACTAAGCTGTGTGCAACCGGAAACGACCGGAGATCCCCTATCACTTAAGCTAAGGATAAACAAGCTTAAGAATCAGCTCGAGGAAAGGGATGAGAGGGAAAAAAAACGAGAGGAAGAAATTAGAGAAATGAAAAAAATAATAAAAATACAGAGGGAGGAAATCCGTGAATTAAAAGCAAAGGTAGAAGATCTAATTAAGGATAGAAGTGGAAGTAAGGAGAAGGATGGAAGAGGAAAATCCGGAAGAGAGACAGAGGCAGGGAAAACAGAAAGAGGGAAAGGAATAGGAAGGCAGGTAGTACCAGGAGGTAAATCCTTTCTAGAAGAAAGGCTCGACCTTAAAGACAGGGGGATCCTAGATTCGATTACCCAACAACGTCGAAGGCAGTAATGGAGGACGGCTCACTGGTCTCGATGGGAGACCAGAAAACAGTACAAGCCATTAATAAACAAATTGCTGACTTATTCAAACTGAGGGCTCAGACCAGGAAGCAGCTCCCTGTCGAAGCCAAGGCAGGTGAAAGCGCCATGCAAGTCGCGGAAGAGTATCCCCCTCTACCCCAGCGAGCGGCACGCCCTTCGATTAAAACCATATCGAACGTCCAGATAATCCCTCCTAGGGGTATGGAGGCAAAGGATGGGATAAGCCAAGGAAAAGGAAAGGGGAAAGTGAATGAGGAATCAGAGAAAAACCTACAAATAGGAGAAAAGGAAGAGGAAAAGAGGATAGAACAGAAGGACGTCATAGAAGCAAAAGAGGGAAATAAAGAAAATTGGACGGAAGTGGTCAAAAAAGGAAGGAAGAATAAATCAAGGAAAGGGAAAAAAGGAGGTACACAGGCGACCCAAGGAGGTGGTGGAGGAAACCAAGAAGCCTCCCAAACAGGGCACCGGACTCTGGCTAAGTCGGAACAAAAGACTATACCAACTCGTCACCCTCCCAAAACAGCGGCTGTAACAATTACAGGAAAGGATAAGGACGCTCCATACGATGAGATACTTCGCAGGGCCAGACAAAATATCCAACTAAGCAAACTGGGGATCGAACAATCCAAGCTCAGAAAGGCAGCGAATGGAGGATACGTAATAGAAATACCTGGCCCTGGGAACGACAAGAAGGCCGATGCATTGGCAGAGAAATTGAAGGAGGTGCTCCCAGAGGACATAAGAGTAGCCCGACCATCAATCAAGGGCGAAATTAGAATAATTGGCTTTGACGGATCTGTCACACAGGGAGAGATAGTCTTTGCGATAAAAGATAAAGGAGGATGTAAGACCGAAAAAATTAGAATAGGCGACATAAATAGAATGAACAACGGCCTATACACTGTATGGGCGCAGTGTCCACTGGCGGCTGCATTTAAGATCTCAGCGTCGAAGAAAATAAAAATAGGATGGACGGTAGCGAGAGTCGAGCTGCTCAAGAAACGGCCAGTCCAGTGCTACCGTTGTTGGAAGTTTGGCCACTTGAAAACGGCGTGCAATGCAACGGTGGACAGGAGCAACTCGTGCTACGGCTGCGGGGAAGCTGGGCACTCGATCCGCAACTGCAACGTTCCCCCGAAATGCATAGTTTGCACAAGCGAAGGAAGAGATGGAAATCATCGTCTTGGCTCGTTCAAATGTGAGCTCACTAAGGAGGTGGAGAAAGTAGCCCCAGTAAAAGCGAACAGGAAGGAACCCGTACGGAGGACGGAGGCAATGGATGTCACCAATGAGGATCAAGATACTGCAATGTAACCTAAACCATTCGTGGAAGGCGCAGGACCTAATGATGCAGCACGTAGTAGAGACCAATGTTGCGGTATGCTTCGTATCAGAACCGAAACACATTCCGGTCTCCCCTGACTGGTTTGGAAGCAACAACAGGCGCGCCGCGATCTATGTAAACCCAGAGGGTATGAGAAGCTCGTTTATGCAGTATAAGGTAGGAAGAAACAGCGTGACCATCAAATGCGGCCCGCACTACCTCACGTCGTTCTATGTGTCCCCAAATGTCGACGACAATAAATATCTAGAGACACTGGACGAGCTCGATGATGTACACCAATGCGCTGGCAAACAGAGGCACCTCATATGCGGGGATTTTAATGCGCGATCTCGCCAGTGGTCGGCGCCATCGCCCAACAAAAAGGGAGAATATCTCGAAGAGTGGGCGGCGCAAAACGACCTCCGGCTATTGAATACAGGAGTCGAACCCACATGTATACGTCCGCAGGGTTTCTCCACGGTAGACCTGTCGTGGTGCTCGCCGGATATGATAGATAGGATATCAAAGTGGAATATAGAGTCCACGGTAACCCTGTCTGATCACCTCTACATCACCATGACACTGGAGAGCACTGCAAGTAATGCGCTTCCCAGGTGCAGTAGCCTAAGATCCTGCAATTTTAGGAAACTAAACCAAGAAACGCTGATAGAGGCACTGGAATGGAAATGCGCAGGTACACCCCTGGAAGATACCTCACGGTACAGTGCGCAGGATTGGGTTGCATGGATGGACACAGCGATGAAGGAGGCCTGCAACGTGGCGGCACCGAGATCCAAGGCGAGAAGTAAGAAGCGCTCTGCGTACTGGTGGAACGAAAACCTCGCAGAAGCAAGAAGAAGATGCACGCTCAAACAACGAGCATGTACCAGAAGCAAGAGAAGAGGGGACCCTGCAGTAACGGAAGCATTAAGGAGAGAGTACAGAGCGGAGACGAAGTGCCTTCGTAGAGAGATAAATAAGGCTAAACATGAGGCATGGAGGGAGCTTCTTGCAACGATCGACGAGGATCCCTGGGGGCTCCCGTACAAGGTTGTCTTGAGGAAGCTTAGAAAACCTATGTTGGGGCTCACGGAGACGCTGGATAGGAATAGTCTGGATGAATTTGTGGTCTCCCTATTCCCGGAAGGCGATACCCAGCTCAACAAGACCGACTGGAGTGACTGGACATGGGACGAGGAACACCAGATAACCCCGGGAGAAGTGTATCGCTTATTAAAAAAGAACGTTATTAAAAATACAGCTCCGGGAATAGACGGAATAAAATCGATCGTCTGGAAGAGAATCCCTCTCTGTCTATTGGATAGGTTAACAATGTGTTATAATACCTGCCTGAAAGAAGGTGTATTCCCTTCCCAGTGGAAGATTGCGAGGCTCGTCCTCATACCTAAAGAGGGTCTACGCCCAGATGGCCTCCCGAAAGCAAGGCCCATATGTCTACTCAACGACATAGGCAAATTCTTTGAAAGAATTATAGTTGACCGCATCATAGATTGGATCGCAGACAATAACCAAGCGAACCTGTCCGAAAACCAATATGGCTTTAGAAAACAGAGAGCCACTCTGGATGCGGTGCAACTCATTAAGGAAAGGGTGAAAGAAACAACCCAAGCAGGAGACGTTGCGATAGGGGTGAGCCTAGACATATCGAATGCCTTCAATTCACTACCCTGGGGTGAAATACGAAGGGCATTAAAGGAGAAGGGCATCCCCGATTACATCCGGCGTATCATAGACGACTACCTGTCAGAAAGGAGAATACTGGTGGTATCTGAAAAAGATGGAATTAGAGAAAAGCCAATGACGGCAAGACTCCCCCAAGGCTCCGTTCTGGGATTTTTTCTCTGGAACTTGACGTACGATAAAGTCCTGAGAGTCGACCTAGAGAAAGGATGTAGCGTGATCGGGTATGCGGACGACACCTTTATACTGGCCTCTGCAGCAAACGAAAACGAGGCGAGCAGTAGAGCCAGCCAACAGACGGCAAAGGTACTCCTACGTATTAAGAACCTCGGTCTCCAAGTGGCAGAGTCGAAGACAGAGGCAATCCTCTTTTATGGAAGGAAGCATACTTCCTTCACAAGTATGCTAACGGGAACAAATTTCCCGTTTTTGTCAACGACCATTCCGCATCTCCCGTTCGGCAAATTAGCTACGGTACGTCGGCGCAATTTACACCCGCGCGACGGAGAGAACGAGTCGGCGGCCGCGTTTATCGCTCAGCCGCGAGACAGTAGGAAAAGTCGTCGCAGTACTTCTTGAGTTATTTTATATTTTAATCTGACATATTTTGATATAAAAAATAAAATATCTCGTAAAATATTTAGTTTTCGATAATCTTACCGTAATACTTTTATGTACAGAATAATGAAACAAATCAATTAGTGCAAAAAAAACAAATAATTGTTTACAAAAATACATTGTAAATAATTTTCGTAAATCAATTATTTTTTTATACTAATTGATTTGTCTCATTATTCTGTACATAAAAATATTACTGTAAGATTATCGGAAACTAAATATTTTACGAGATATTTTATTTTTTATATCAAAATATGTCAGATTAAAATATACAATAACTCAAAATGTACTTAATGAAAAAATACTTTATTATAGTGTTTTGGAAAGCTCTCGAGGTAAGCTACAAGAATATGTAATGAGAAATAGGGGTTCCCATTTAAGGAATTAAAAGTGTCCTTGACTTGACCTTAACGATGCTATCCAAAGTCAAACCAATGACACCATTTTATGTTACCCTCAAAACCATACAATTTTTGTTCAAAACGTTTTCCTCTAAAATGCTTAGTTTTTGAAAGAAAAGAAGTGTGTGGGTGGTCTAGGACACCCTGTATATATATATATTTCAAAGAACCCTTATTTAATCAAGTTCTTCTTCATAGGCTTCAATAGTTATAATTACAGTATCTTCGTTATGTGTCGCTTCGGGTAAATCGGGGTCGTCTTGAAATTCGTTATATTTTACAAA